AACAGCAAAAATTTCTTATAAAAAATATTTTACTTTTTTTATTTTATTTTATTACTTTTTATTTTACTTTCTACTTTACTTTTTGTATAGTAATTAGTTTGCTTTTTACTTTACTTTTCATCTCACTTTTTATTTTTTACTTTTTTTTACTTTTTATTTACTTTTATTTTACTTTTTAAAATAATGATTGAATCTTAATTCTTACGTTACCTCTTTCAGCATTTCCGTTTTTACATTAGAGATTAGAGTTCCCGCTAACTTGATTTTTCCCATTGGAAATCGACGACTTCATCTAAATGGAAATTAAGATTTCGATTGATGTACAGTCGTTTGCGTATTTTAAAACCACATTTTATTATGTAGAAATTTTATTGGATTGTAAAAGAGAAAACCATTTTGTGTATTTGTGTTATTACGCCTTGGAATGCGTATTATTGTGCAATACCTGCTTTGTAGAAAAGCAGGTATTTCTTTATATTTCAAAAAGCTTTAGCGCACAGAAACACCCGCTTGTCTCTAAAGCAGGTATTGTACAAATAATACGCATTTCAAGGAATATTCTTCCCGTAATAACACAAATACACAAAATGGTTTAAGGTCCCCTTTCCGTCATTTGAATGACGTCATTTCGTGCTTTAGGTCTCACTCGGGTGATGTGTTAGGTCACAATGCTACACATGTCCTATCTTATTTACACCAATGCACCGCGTTAGGAACTTACAATAATGTTTCCGTGTTAAGAACTTATAATAGTGTCGCCGTATGTGAAAATCAGTTTCACGAAATGTTAGTTGACTGTATATAAAAATGGAAGCGGAACTTTATGAACTTTAAAGATGAACTCTATAGAGATTTTTTCGGGTCCCTTAAATTTTCCTGCTAGTAAAAAAGTTGTCCAGCATGATGAATTGCCTCCCGTGACAAACGAATTGTCAGTGACTCTGCGATTGAATATCCAGAGTCATGATACAAATTGGACAACTATTTTTCATAAAGGTATACATCGCAAGAGGAATAGTTTCAAAATTGTATTGAAAATATTATCTAAACTAATGGTTCTCCATCTTAAAAAAATAATATATGCCTAGGCGCAGTTGATTTGGAACGTACTCCCGCTCTTTTTCTAACACCGAACGCCTCACAACCAGATGTTAGGTTCTCGACGAATAATGACAAGAATTTGGGAATTGATGCAATCGGCACTGGGTTTGTTCTAAATAAATGGTACCATATAAGCTACACACTTTCGGAACCTCATAAACGCTTGGATTTCTACATAAACGGCAAATGGGTTGGATTCAAGAGCATTGTACAAGTCCAGGTGCAACAAATTGTGTTCAACAAAGGCCCGTTGAAAATCGGGCAATCATACTACGCAGATTTTAAGGGACAAATGAGGTATGATTTATCATCGTCAATTAAGTTGTTGCAATAAAATATGTTGGTTAATAAATGCGTAATCACTTTTTAATAGCAATTTTCGTTATTATAATTGGCGTTTATCTACTGATGAAATTGCGAAAGATTTTGTAAGATAAATTTCAGAATTTCGCATTCTCTAATAATTATCTTTTTTTTATTTAATCTTTAATGATAATATAATTTTAACTTTTAGGTTATGACATATGACACATACAAATGAGCTGAGAGATGCCTATTATCCCATTTTACAATTGAAATACATTATACGTATTATGATTGTTATTTTTGTACATATTTAATATAAATAAAATACTTGTGTTTACCTATTTTTTGCCCGTTTTGAGCAATTTCATACGTAATAATATACTAATATCGAAGATATCGAAAAGCATCAATACATTTTGTCACCAGTTGGCTTTGGTTGTCACTAGATAAAAATTCAACTGGTAATAGAACTGGTGACACTTTCTTAAGAGTTTTGAGCCTTGTCATTTCTTTCTTGATTACTAAGTTGTTTGTATATACTTATGACAGAACCTGTGACACTTTCTTTCTTGATTACTGTTACAAGTTGTCAGTATTCTAGGAAAAAAATCGAAACTTTTTACTTGGTATACTATATCCATATACAGTCAACTCTCTCTATAACGAACTGACGGTTCTGGTAGTAAAAAAAAGTTTGTTATATAAAATCACTATGTTTTCTATAGAGATCATATACATGTACCATGATATACGTACTATAAACGTAAATATACATGTACATCGATATGCATAGATATTGTTATGTCTTCTCGAAAGTTTGTTTAATTAACGAAAAAGATGATAACGCACTAGTTGTGAGCTAAACTGAATGATTTACTTAAAGAGGAGTTCTCTAAAGGTTCTAAAGGTCTTTTGTGATGATTTTACAAAAATCAACACCAATGAAAGATAAGGATCTTTTTTAAGTAAAAGTGTTTTCAGGTAAATACTAACTAAACTTTAATTGTTTTAATTAACAAGTAGGATTTATTGATACGACCTACAAAACAAATTGATATTCACAAATATTACAAAGTGCTAACACAAAAGAGTTGGACTTATTGATGCAGCCAACAAGATACTATAATACAAAATCAGAATATAGCTTATTTATAGTAAAGGTCTTCTACTACTTGTGTACAAGCTTTGAAGATAATCAAGAAAAAAGATTTGTTAACAAGTAAGTATATTTTACAAGTTGGTACTTTTATTGAATCAAAGTATGAGCTTTTTTTACTTGAAAGTAGTTTTTTTATCCTTTGACTATACTAATTATATTTTTCATATTATAGATTTATAATAATAGAAATAAAAATATTGGTTCAATTATTCACAAAAAAATATTCACTTGCAATTATTAACTTAAAATTATTAGTTGAAAGTTATTAGCTCAATAATATAAATAATTATTCAAATATATAAATATAAAATAGTCTAACAAAGAAATTTTCTAAAAAGGAACCTAATGTATTAAGTGCTAAATGATCACAAAGATTAAAATAGTAACAATAAACAATTATCATAATATAATAATCATGCAAAATGGGAATCAGAATTATTTGTAATAAATAATAATGTAAATTATAAAGAATTTTTATAAAATTAGAAAATTTCATATTGCTATAACAAGATTATTTTCTTCTTTGAAAAACTGATCTTCTGTGAAGTTTAAATACTTTAAGAAGTTCATTATTTTTTAATCTTTTAATTCAAATAATGTTACTTCTATATTTTATTGCAGTTAATTTATATCTCTTTTAATAAATGATTATCAAGTATATTTAGTAGTATTTATTTGTCAAATCACAGTATAATAGTTTCTTTTAAATAATTTCAGATTACCTAAATTTTTCTTGCATAGATAAGTTCATTGACTGTAATTATTTTCTTGAAGTTTTGTAATCAAGTTACTAAATTCTGATACTTTTTGATGATAATAATCATCTTCTCCTAAACTTTTTCATTTTGTGCATTAAGTACAAGAGTCAAATTATTCACTGTGATTAAGATTAAGATAATATTGATGTTCACTATTTCTTCTGGTTTTAATATAGAAGTTTATATTAATCTAGTAGGAGTCTTATTACTAAAAAATCTTTAGGTATTAAATATTATGAAAGAAGTATTTTTTAATCTTTATTAAAATTATAATTTATTCATAATCCTTTTTTTTACTTAATTCTCAAGTTTCAAAATAGTATTCTTTAGTATTTTCATTTTCTTCTTCTTCTAATTTAAATATAATATTTTTGAATTCTTTTATATTGACAAACTAATATAATATCATAATAATGATTTGGATTTAATTCAATATTAATAAATATTTTTGAAATAGAATAGTATTGAGTAATCAGACTATTCTTTGATATATTTGTACAGAATATGCTTTTTCAAGATTAATTATCTCTAATTTTTAAAAGAATTAGTAGATAATTACTATATAACTATAGATACTTAGTATTTTAATTTATATTAAAAATTAATAGAATAACCAATTATATTTCTGAAAGGAAAATAACAATAACTACAATAAGATTTAGTAATTCTTTGCTCTTAATCTTGATATTTTTTAAAATATTCATTTGTAAGTATTTTAGTAAAAATATAATACTCATTTATATACAGAATATAATTATAAAAGATTTTAGATTTTACAAAAAGAGCACTAAAATATTATGTCTTTTCAAAAATTTGTTTAATCAATGAAAAGATAATAATATATTAGTTGTAAGCTAATAATTTACTTAAAGAGAAGTTTTCTAAAGATTTAAAAATTTCTTGTGATAATTTTTATAAAAATTAACACTAATGAAAGATAAGAATCTTTTTAAATAAAAGTGTTTTTTTAGGTAATATTATAAATTTGTTTACTAATTGTTAAATTAGCTTACAAACAAGAATCTGAATTGTGAAAGAATATAAACTGATAAAGAAAATATTAAGAGAGAAGAGAAATATCTAAGTCCTATGCCAATTTCTATGAAAATTGTATTTACTTGAAAAGAAATAATAATATGAAAGAGTTATAAGAGAGTAAAGATCAAAAAGAAGAGAGAATAAAAAAATAATAAAGAGAATTTGAAAAGATAATTCTATACTTGCATAAAGCTTTCTAGAATTAAGATAATATAATTAGTAATAACAATAACAAAGACTCTTTCATTTTGTTCTTCTCACAAGTAAGGAATATTTATTAATAATTAAAAATTCAAAATATTAAAAAGTAAAAATACTTATAAATTCAATTTCAATAATTTTCAATATAGCAATTTGTTCAGTATAATACAAGCTCAGTGCAATACAATATAAAGCTATCAGCAATTTGATAGATTCAATATGATATAAGATTACTTATATACAAGATTTGAAGTATATAAAGAAAATATGAGAGGTGAAAAGTATTTGAAAGAAGATTTTTGTTAAGAGAGATTTTTATTTTCAGTTATAATATATTGAGTTAAGACTCAGACAGCACCTCTATTTATAAATTTTTCAAAATTACAAAAAGTGAAATAAATAATTATAAAAATATATAAAAGTAAAAAAATAAAAAGTAAAATAATAAAAGTGAAATAATATATGTAAAAGTGAAAAAAATAAATAAGTAAAAAATCAAAAAAGTAAAATAATAAAAGTGAAAAAATGCTAAGAGATTTTGTTATTA